GCATTGCATGATGAGAAAGCAGCAGGCCATTTGGGATTTGAAAAGACATTATCAGCGATCAGACTCCGATATTATTGGGATCGAATGAGTACTGACGTAAAGAATTACATACTCGCTTGTCAAGGATGTCAATTTCGTAAAACACCGAGGAAATGCCCACCCGGTAAATTGCAAGAGATAAAGGTCGGACATCCGTTCTTCCGAGTGTACGCTGATCTGAAAGGACCGTTGTTACCGACGAAGAAACGTGGATACAAGTACATAGCGGTATTTATCGACCAACTGACGAAATATGTGATTGCGGTACCGATGAAAACAGCAACGGCTAAAGAATTCGCGAAAGTGTTTGTAAAGCACGTGATACTGGTACACGGAGCACCGCACATCCTACATACGGATCGCGGACGACACTTTACAGCTGAAGTATTGGCTAAGGTCACCAATGTGTTTAAGATTAAACACACATTTGGAACGGCGTATCATCCGGAAGGTCAAGGCCAAGTTGAAAGACAGATGCAAACGATTGCGGATGGCCTGGCACAGTACCTGAAAGCGGGAAACGAAAGAAAGTTCAATAAGTACCTTCCATATGTTATTTCGGCAATGAACAGAGTCGTGCACGCCACAACTGGATATTCAGCATACTATATGCTACACGGCAGAGAAATGACAATGCCGGAGGATGTAGTCACAAAAACGAATATCCCAGACGATTATGGGACTCCAGATGAATGGGTGGAGACCATGAAAAGGAACCTGACCTTTGCAGAAGAAGTGGCGAAATGCAATATCAAAGATGCATACGAGAAGAATGCGGAAATTTACAATAAGAAGAAATCGGAGCCGAACTTCAAAGTGGGCGACCTCGTACTGATACGATTACCAAAGGACACGAAACAAGGGAAGAAAGAAAACCAGTCGGACTTTAAGTCGAAATACGATAAAGTGTGGAAGATTCTGAGTTTCCCGCGAACAAACGAAGCTGAGGTTATTGAGCAGAACCCTAAGAAGGAAGCAGACTTAAAGGTGGTCTCGATCGACCGATTAAAGCTGTGGCATCCGCCATTACCTGAGGAGAAAGATTCGCAAAAAGTATCAGAGCGTACCTCGAATTTTTTCGAACCACCTCTGCTACCTGAAGTAGAACAAGGAACAGAGCGTACTCAAAAAGACTCGGCAGAATCTTTTTTCGAACCACCTCTGCTTCCCGAAACGGAGAAAGCTAACGGAAAAGAAAATCAATCAGAGCGGAGCCCGAAAAATGACTCAGTCACACAACAAAAGCCATTTTTCGAACCACGCACTCTGCTACCTGATATGCGTGGAGATAACCGACGAAGAAGAGAGGAAGACCCAGGAAAGAAGACAAAGATTTCGAGACAGCAGTTACAAAAAAGTTGAACGCAGAAGCTGGAAATTTGGCAGAAAGGTCACCAGCTTTCGGAGAAGAAATCGAAGTAGCAGGACGCGCTTCGCAAAAGGATTTCGAACCGAATCAAAAGCCTTTTTCCGAACCACGTACTGCTACCGGAGACAAAGATGACCTTTTGAAACAGCAAGTTGGCGCTGGAATATCAGAGCGCGATCTGAATTTTTTCGAACCACGCACTGCTACCGGAGATAAGAATGACCTTTCGAAACGGCGAACTGGCGCTGAGATATCAGAGCGCGATTCGAGTTTTTTCGAACCACGCACTGCTACCGGCAATGAAAACGACCTCATAAGAAAGAGAAAAGAGGAAATAGAGGCGGTCAAATCAAAAGCTGAACAATTGGGCCGCGATATAGCGAAAGCAATTAATGAGCGAAATGTCAAGCAGAAGAAGAAGAAACCAACTCCTACGGAACTGCTAACCCAAAAAGGCGAACCTGTGGACGCAGCCGAGCAAGACCTTCTTGATCGGATAACTAAAGGACGCGAAGACAAATAACCCACATAAATATGAATAAGTGGTTCGATTCACTAAAAACAGAAGTTCGGAAGGTGTAAAGGTAATACGAAGTACACCAGCCAATCGTTATCGTTTTCGTTGATAGTGGAAAGGTCACCAAACTCTGACGAAAAGTCATCAAAAATGTTAAAAGGTCAAAAGGTCATCGAAATGGACACCAGAAAGGTCATCATGGATGAAAAGTCAACAGGAAGGTCCTCCAGTCGAAAGGTCATCAGACTCGGACTGAATCATTCGCGAGAAGCGAATGGTTATCGAAAGGTCAAGATACTCCGACCGAAATTCAAATGGAACAACGAAAAGGTCACGAAAGTCCGGAATCTTTAGAAATTGTCGTCCAGTCGAAAGGTCATCGGACTCTGACTGAAGTACAAATGGAGGGCACACGTCGATTGAAGCAAAAGCGGAAGAAGAGAAAGGTCAATCGAAAGGGTGAGAGACTCCGGCAGAAATCCAAAAAGATCAGCCAAAAGGTCACGAAAGATCTTGATCAGCAAAATGAAAGGTCATCAGACGAGATTGTGAAGCCAGATCACCGAAAACCATAAGGTCAAGTGACCATTGACCCAAAGGTCAAGCGCAAATGAACTTAAAAGTTAGATGCCAAATGAACCAAGTGTCAAGTGAAAGGTCAAGTGACAGACCGAGTGAAAGGTCACGGGATTTTGACAGAAAAAGGCGAACAGCCTAAAGGTCAAGAGACGTCTGGAACCGTAGAGAAGGAAGTGCAACCTAAAGGTCAAGAGAGTTCCGTGTCTACGAAACTACCGAAAGGTCACGAGACTGAAAGAAGGTGGGAAAGAAAAGGTCATGCTCCCCATGGAAAAAGCTGCAGCAGATGCAGAAGCGGACTACGCGCGACAGGTGGTTCAAAAAATCGTTGTTTACACTATTGAAACAGGCTTCAGCGACGGAGAAACCGAAAGGTCAGGAGATCCCACTAACGACCGAAAAACCAAAAGGTCACGAGACTTAGCCGCAAAAAGAGAAGACTGACGAACCGAAATCGACTCAGTCTTCGTTTGGATCATTGGCGAGATAGACAATCGATGAGAAACGAACCAACGGACTCGGCATTCCCCCAGAAACCGGAAACGTGCGGTACACCAGCGAAATGAAAAATGCTGCCGGAGCACAACAAAATGCGTGGAGAATGGTCATAACCAATGCGACAATGGACAATATATGTCGATTAAATGGAACGACATGACCTTTTGAGTTACAAGGCTGTCAACTTAGAACTGGAAGAACTTTCTACTTGAATAATGGCGAACAGATCAGAAACAGTTGAATGTTAATTAGTTATCGCTGGAGAACTGGTGGAAACGTCAAAAACGTGAAAGGTCACCGTGTTAGAATGAGACGATTGAACTGAAAAATAGCACGGGAAAGGTCATCACGTTAAAGTAACGAAAGGTCATCAGAATCAGAATTGAATGCGAAAGTCTCAGTTCAGTACGGTATAGCCTAACTAGGCGCAATGGTAAAGTATAAAGGTCACGTAACATATTACTGAAACCGCGTTCGTGTACTTGTTGTTTTCAGCGTTTATAGCACAGAATCGAAAGGATAAAGAAATCATGTGGAGCATCTATTGGGGTTTAAATTGATTCGGTCTATAAAGCCGGCCCCAAGGGAGTAGTTACGGCAGTTAGCCGGCTCTCCTCCTTAAGCGATTCAGTGTTATAAATGTACAAGAGAAACTACGGTAATCAAGCCGGATCTCTTGAAGACGGAAGTGGGCCACAAGCGGCGAAAAAGAGAAAGACAACAGGTGGAATATTGATGAGGTTAACTTAATGCGGCAACCAGCCGGCCTCATTAGAGTTGTTACGGTAAATTGTGCCGGCACTCTAGTTAAGCGATTCAGTGACAAAATCGAAACGAGAAAACCTACGGTAACCAAGCCGGATTTCTCGTAATAACGTAAGCCACAAGCGGCGAACAAGAGTAAAAGATTAAATGTGGAAATTTCATGGGGTAAACTTAATGCGGTAACTAGCCGGCCCCATCAGAGATGTTACGGTAAACTTGCCGGCACTCTGGCCGCTCGAGGCATACTGAAGTTGGATGTGCGACGGAAAGGTCAAACTGCAAGTTTTACCAGGGAGGCAAGCGAAGAAGTGCTTGAAGGCCGCAGAAAATTGGCTAAGTTCCTCCATGACCTTTAATGGAAATTTGAAGAAAAGTCGGATGACCTTTGGGATCATTACCGCCCAAAAGATTCATCGTATCGGAATTCAAGTCGCATGACCTTTGGGACCATTAACCCAAAATGAGTCGCACATCTCAACGGATCATCTCAACAAAGGATGACCTTTACCAGGGAGGAAGCGAACTACGCTTGTCTTAAAGACGTCCCTCCATGACCTTTATGGATCTCATTTGAAGTCGTACAATTGATACGCACCTTATTCCAAAGATGAAGCAGTATTCCTAAGTCGTACTTGATACGCACCTGATTCTCAAGCGGATTGTGATGAAGTCGCAGGTTTGCTCAACGGAGCGGAATGGATTAAAAGTGCGGAAAACGGTGGACAGGACCTGTGACCTTTGCGAGTCAGAAATGGAGGATCCTAGTCTACATTTGATTAATACTTTTGTTGATCTGTTACTGTTGATCTGTACCTAATGATTTAATAGTATTTTTATAATTGGATCTCTTTATTTCACATTGTATTAAATGGAATTGTGCCTTTACGGAATTGATGTGATAAAATGGATTAAGAGAATTTGATGTTTTTGAGCACGCACAGACACTGGCGACCGTCGTCTTCTCGTGGATTCGGGAGTGTGTCCAGCCTCACAGGAGCTCGGCATCCCCCCAGAGGCATGTGAGACCAGGATCACTAGCGTTCACGTCAGTGGCGCTACGCCTTAGGATTACGTGTCTGTGCTGTGTCTCTTCTGATTGGCTTGCGTTTTGATAGTGGGCGCGGCATAGCACGTGCTGCACGGTGTTGCGCACTGTTGAACGGGCTCTACGTTTTACGATCGAGCTGTGCCGATCACTTGTTGATTTCTGTTGTGCAGACTTTCAATATTATTAAAAGTCAGCGATTTACGGTGCGACGTTTGTGTTTCCGCATAGCTCGCGATCCATATCGTATCGCTCGCTTCCACGGGATAGATTCTGTTTCTGTCTCCGTATCTGGATCACAGTTGGATCTAGCATTAGAGAGTGTTGAAAACGGCTGTGTCGGATTAGGATAAAGCTCGGTGAATTTTGACAAATGGCTGATTAGTGCGGATCCGCTGATCGGTCGTAAATGCTCAAGGATTGCCTAAGGGAGTGAAAAAAGGAGTGACCGGGCAGCATTTTAAATATCGCGCTACCCTGGATCTTGCATGTCCCTGTAATTATTAATTAGGTCCATATACAATACGTGGAATCACCTTGTTGAACCTGCATAAACCGGTTTGTACAATCCTACTACCTATTCGTTGTCATTTACAGAAGGCTGTAATTTGTATTTTAAAGAATGCTGCCAACGATATAATATTAGTTGTAGAATAGATGGCAGCGCTTAGCTGATGATGCCTAGCTTGACATTAATTCTATCAACAACACCGTAATACTAAGCACAATTTCATTAACGTTGCTGTGTATTGTTAAATATCATATGAAATGCATCACCGGCTTTATTTTCGCAAGTACGTGCGGATATGTCGTAGCCAGTAATTATTGACTAGATAAATAGTAAATAAACTATTATTTACAGTCCAAATTATTTAGGTGACCACTCCGTACACACCCTTTCACACCTTTTCACTCCGTACACAACCTTTTGCACTCCCTTTCATTCCGTGCACAACCTTTTTGCGCACTACCATTCACTCGGTGCACTACCAAACTTTATATATGTTTATACATATTATACTTAAATACTTGTAATCTACATTACTACAGAAAAGCAAAACTACAAAAAAATATTGGCAAGCGAAAACTGAAATATACAAGTGTTACGGAGCAGTTCTTGCGGAGATTAGGGCGGAAAACGCTGCTGTTTAAAATCAAAAAAACGGTCGAGATTGCGCGTTTTACGCGTTGGCGTTCGCGGCAGAGATTGCCCTGCATGGAAACTACCCCGCGGCAACTTCTTACACAGGGAGGGACCTACGAAACTGGGTCAAAAACTCCTTTAAAGGCGGCGCTGTCCAAACCCTGCGAAGAAAAACCGGCACAAGGGCGCCCAGAATTATTCTTTCACGGAAATTTGATTTTGTAACTGCCTATGATGCTTTGAAATATGCAACAATAACTACTGTTAACGAAGAAACGGCAGTTCCAGAAATAACTCGGCTGTAAAAAAATTAAAAAAATTTAAAGGTTGTGTACGGAATGAAAGGTAGCGCAAAAAGGTGGTGGACAGAATGAAAGGGACTGCAAAAGGTTGTGTACGGAGTGAAAGGGTGTGTACGGGGTGGTCACCAATTATTTATTAATTAAACAAGGCATTATTTTAAAAAATAACAATTACGAGTATTATAAGCAAGTGTAATTTATATATGAAAATCCATGTGTTATTATGGGGACAATGGCGACCGCTCGTGATGGAAAGTGCGATTTTCGAGCGGAATCTATTACGTTTTTCAGTTTTTCTTGTGTGTTTATTGGCTGAAATCCGAAATAACGCCGAACTAGTTCGTTTTGCTTCTGCAGTCTGTTGCATCAGAGTGATAATTATTGTACCGGCAAAAGAAAAACCCTGAGATTTCATGGCCCGGGTGCTTACAAACGCCGCGAGCGCGCTGGAAAAGGTAATCGTACCTGGTGCACAGGGCTGCCAAAATAATAACAATAATTATTATTATAAAAATTATTATTATTATTGTGACTGGTTCGTTACGTTTTAACGTGATCCACATGTACCTTACTCTACTTAACCATAGTCGTTTTCGGAACTCTTACTGTTTATGGCTGTACGCGTCAAATATCCTAAGAAAAGTGAGCTGCACTTATAAATATTTTTCTCATTAAAGAACCAGAAACGATATTTTATACAGATACAGTATCTGTTTCACACTGTTTCGTGCTTATTGGTTAAGCATGAGCTAGCATTTTTAGGAAGCTAGTTATGGGACCAAAATCGCGCATTGCTTATAGCTGTGAAGGAGACCTTATTTCTTCCTCATGCAGGCTTATTTCGATATAATTTATGGCGAAACATTCAAAAATCGAGGGTATTCCTGCCATGATTAAGTATTTTTGCTCTGCACAGACAGCACAATTACCCTGTTTACCTGTTGATGCAGTTCTTTAACTTAATTTCGCAGAAAGCCCCTGCAATTAATTGCAGCACATCAGTACCAATAATGCATGTCACATTATTCAACCAATCTTTAATCCGACAAAGCAGCACAACATAATTCACGACCAAATAAGTACTAGACCCGAAATGGCGGTGCATGGCTCTTTAAATATGGTTACACTAGCAACGGTTCTAGGGTATTGCCAGTCAAGCCTCGCGGCACATTCTGCGCTTTTTTCACTTATTATTCTCCGAAAGCTTTATAAAAGCAGAAGCGACTTCCCGGTACACCATTCTGCCAATCGATGTATTCTTTGAACACCAGTTGGTCGTGGTAATCGAAAAGATTTCTGCCGCTCTCTGAACATTTGGATCAAAGCACAGGACTTCTTCGGTTTCCCTTCCATATAAACATCATGACAGCTTCTCACACGACCTCCAATGCGCGTAAATTTAATTTTCTGGAGAACATCCATGGCGGTTTGGCGGCGGTACCGAGACAGTCGTTCAAGACTAATCTCCAGGTAAGCAAGTTTCTGGGTAGAATTTCTAACACAAAATGTTTTTCGAGTTAGGATCTTTTCCGCATTTTTAGGCTTGCGAAAACATTAATCAAACGGTGATAAAAGGCATCACACCACGTTCCCACGCGTTCCACAGCCCAGCGCCAACTGAAAACTATCCCAGAAAGGTCAAGAATTTGGATGTTAAAGAGTGGATTGCCTTCCTACCGGAAAACCAGCAAATGAAAGATAACCCGTGAGAACGATACCATGTGTCAATTATCATTTAACAAATTCGTAGAGACAGGCACGGCTTTAGCGACGTACGCTTTCAATGCTCAACTTTTCTTTCAAGGGGTTTCTGACCAGCTAAGGGCCCTGTTTTTTCAGGTTTACCGTGTTTCCCAGCGATCACCCACCGAATGATGGGAAGCGTAACAGCATCACCATTGGCAGCTTTAGACCTCATGCCGCGCCTGCTGGGTGACTGGGTCGTGAATGTAGACTAAGCAGCTAACAGGCTCTGTAATCCAAAAGTGCTTTCCGGTGCTAATATTCAGCTAACGCAACGCTGATAATTGTGATTTATTTTGGCTAGATCATTTGTGATGCCTGTTACGTTATTCGCATAAAATCATCCCATTAAATTCCGATTTTCTTTGGGCCATATTACTTCGGAATTCCTGGCTTTTAGTACCGTAGTTCAACAAACAGCCGCATGATTTCTACTATAGGAAAATTTGGCTACGCATTTTATAAATAACTTTAAAGAAGCGAAACTGATTAACGTAATCCACCGCTTCCAGCTCAGATACTGCTGATGTCGGATAGCCTGGTGGAGTGCGTTGAGGCTTGAATGTGTTTTATTTATAGCGCTGCTATTACGGTTGTGTGGCATGCAACTACCTGCAAGCATCGGCCTTGAAGTTACCTGTTTTATTTTACCTACATTTTTACTGCAATTTACCTTATGCATCTGTAATCTAGATAGCAGCGCTGAAATGAAGCGCGGCAAGCTTTACTGCTCTTTAAACTGTCTGTTGTTCTACAAGAGGGAGGGGTCACGTGCCAATGTACCCCCGCCCCTTAAGTTCGCCACTGTACACCCGTAAACACATAGTGTTAGCCATGATAAACGTCTGATTCTTAACGTAGGCATTTTTAGTGTGTCTGTACTAAGTTGGTATGAGTACATACGTTTCTTACGTTTAGAGCTTCCTGATTGGTTGGCCTTACACACCGCTCAATCACCTCGATGTGTTTTGTGTTCGCTATTCGGTACAAGTTTAAACTGACTAAACTTTGTTGTACAATAAATTGCAATTTCCGAATAAGAACGTACGCTATGTGCGCACCGAGTACAAGCTTGTCCGGTAATTTCTGCCGGTTCAATACAGCGAAATACACAAATTTGCGTGTTAAGCCAAACTCCATGCTACGGCGCGCCACGCCACACTGTTTTATTACGTAACGTGTATCTGGCTGGCTGGTGGCTTGGTGCATGCCAGATAATTTAATGAGAAAAACAGTAAATGCCTGGCGGAAGGTGGCTAAAAAACGGTCGCTGTAGTAATGGACAATCTAACTGCGGAGCGCATTTGGCCAGGGTCAAAAAGAGGGAGGGAAAATTAAAGGGAGGGATTTTCTTTGGTCGAAAAGAGGGAGGGAAAACTAAAGGGAGGGATTTTGAGCGGTCGAAAAGAGGGAGGGAAAACTAAAGGAAGGGGTTTTCAGTGTTCAGAAAAGGAAGGGAATTTGGACGATCCCAAAATTTTAAGAAGTTCAGAGCGAGCGAATCAAACTTTCCAAGCACTACCTTCCGGAAGCTGTTGTAAGACATACATATAGAAGTACTGGTAATCTTCCACTTTACACAAAATCACGTCACATTTTCTCAGCACGTCTGGGATTGAATGCTATTTGGAACGTTTTTATGTTCAAACTACATTTAGTTCAATTTTTAATCAAGCACGCGAGCAAAGCGAGCTTTTCTTTTATCAAGGGACGAGCGAAGCGAACCCACGTTTTCTATTACTAATCACATTTGAGTTTCTGTAACGGAGAGTGCCAATAACCTTTGGGTCGCGGAGTGACTTTCGGGTCGCCGACGATTTTTTGTGATTTTTATACAGTTTAACAAGGTGAGTCGAACTGAAATACCCGGTGACCTCGAACCCGGATGCCCGAGGTCGCTGCCAGGGCTTGCTTTGTATATATGCACATTATGCAGTTCGACGTGCTAAGCCGAACGGAAATACTCATAACATGGCTAAATCTTTAAATAGCCTACCCTAACAGTCAAAACTCTCAATAAAGAAGTTATTAATTTTGTAATAACGGATATTTTGGGTTATTAAGTTATGTATTTTTCAAAAATTTCGCGGAAAACCACTGGCACATGGGTTTTTAATGGCTTTGGTCTTCTTATAAATTTTGTATGGCTCCATCAGCACGAGATCAGAAGCGCAATTCTGAAAAAAAAGGATTTCTATCAAATGTTGTCTCACGGTATAGAATGCCGAAATTAAAGTACGTATAGTGCAATACAAGCGCATTAAAATAAAAAATATTTTAGAAAATTTCCAAAGTTTTTAATTTTTTTTCCCTTCAAAATCATAATTATAAAATAATTCTAATTGTTAAATGAACTTGAATTACTTGAAAGTTATTACATAATCCCGAAATCGTTGCAACTTTTTACATAATCCCAAAATCGTTTTTGATTTATTCTTATCTCAAACTAAAATTTTTAAACACTTGTTGTAGTTACTTAATTACTAAAATTCCTCATAAGTATTGGAAACAATTTGTTTGCTTTAAATTTTATTAAAATGAAAAATTGTAATTTTTAAAAAAATTTTAAAAAGGAATCTTCTCAGTTCTTTAGTTAAGCATTCAATTATTCTAAATATACACCGGTTTTTTACGCGTTAAAACTTGGACCAGTTTGGCCATTGAACCAGTATTTCTATTTCTTCTACTGCATTCAATAAAACAGAAGGCTACTCAATAAAGAAAATGTGAATTAGAGCTGCTAATACGCATGACCTAAAACACAGCTGGCCATGCTGTGTGTCTCCGCATATTCAGATTCATTGGCAACTCACACTGAAACTTGTATCTGTAGTCTGTACTTATGCAATAAACCTGACTGCAACTTTCTAGGATTAATATAATGTCTACGTTCACTTTATAATAGCTTCGGCTAATAACAGCTTCGCTTCGGTTTTTGGTGCTCAGCGGTGAGCTTTCCTAGAAATATTTGGAAATATTTAGAAATATTTAGGTATGTCAGTATGGTAGTGGAAGCCCTGGCGGCGACGTCGGGGACCCAGGTTCAAGATCACCGGGTATTTCAGTTCGAGTCACCATGTTGAGCCTATTAGGAATCACACAAAAATCGTCGGCGACCCGAAAGTCACTCCGCGACCCAAAGGTTATTGGTACTCTCCGAGTCTCCCTTACAGAAACTCAAATGTGGTTAGCAATTGAAAACGTGGGTTCGCTTCGCTCGTCCCTTGATAAAAGAAAAGCTCGCTTTGCTCGCGTGCTTGATTAAAAATTGAACTAAATGTAGTTTGAACATAATAAAGTTCCAACGGTTCCATATAGCATTCATTCTCAAACGTGCTGAGAAAATGTGTCGTGATTCTGTGTAAAGTGGAAGACTACCAATACTTCTATATGTAAGTCTTACAACAGCTTCCGGAAGGTAGTGTTTGGAAAGTTTGTTTTGCTCGCTCTGAACTTCTTTAAATTTTAGGATCGTCCAAATTCCCTTCCTTTTCTGAACACTGAAAACCCCTTCCTTTAGTTTTCCCTCCCTCTTTTCGACCGCTCAAAATCCCTCCCTTTAGTTTTCCCTCCCTCTTTTCGACCAAAGAAAATCCCTCCCTTTAATTTTCCCTCCCTCTTTTTGACCCTGGCCGCGCATTTAGGCAATCTGATAAGCGCAGTGACGTGGCTATGGATTTAAGCGCAAATTTCGCGCTAGCTGTACCTTTACGACAGAAATTACCGGACAGGCTTGTACACTAGTACTCATACGCCGCTCTCATATTCTCTACTGAAAACGTAAGTGCATATAAGGGGAAAAACTAAGCGTCTTCCACCGTTCCCCTGTACTGCTGCCGTCACCCGCCTGCAGTATGACTTTACGGCAGTACAGTACATGCGGTTAAATCTGGCGCGGTGCGTAAGCGTCATGTTCAGCCACAACGTCCAACTCCAGTCGGGTGACGGCAGCAGTACAGGGAACGGTGGAAGATGCTTAGTTTTTCCCCTATAGACGAACCGGAAATCTCAGTTTATCTGGCTAGAGGCATCCTCATTATTACTCAAACTCAGACAACTTTTTCCGTTGACTGGTATAGGCACAGTGCGCAGTGCAGTGTATATGCGCAGTGTAGTATGGTGCATCTGTTATGATTATTTTGTAGACTGTAGAGTAAGCATGGGTATGTTACCAAACGGAGCTGTGCAGTGCGGTATCTTGAATACGTACCGTATGACTGTTTTGAACATTCGGAGCCAGATAAGCTCCGAGTCGTGATGACCCGTGTTAGCAGCCGTTATCTGCTACTCATTACGCCGAAAAAACTAAAGCCACTGCCATAGTTGATGTTCGCGCAAAAGACAGAACAAAAATCAAAGACCGAACATCAAAAGACAATTTTGAAATAAAAGTGTTCCAGACTGTTGGGCGAACCGAACAGAATTTTCTTGTCTTTTTTGATTGTGCTCATAAGCGTAATCGTTCGTACTCAGAAATGGTTCGGCAAATCTCGCTCCTCCTCGTTTATGTTTTACGACAACCAAGTACGGTTGTGCGTACGTAATTATCAGGCATGCACAGGACTGCTAGTTTCCGGTTTTCATTCTAATTAAAATTTTGAGTTTCCAAACACTACTTTGTGGAATGCAACCGAATGTTGAGGGTTTGAACCCGAAACATGTTGATGGACCTCTTATACAAGCCCGTTTTCAAACTTGTAGACCACTGTAAGCACGACGCAGTGAATAGCGCACAGTAAGGTTAGATTTTATCTACTCTACAGTCTACACTTTCATTGAATGCACTGGCTCAAGCTGTCGTTTCTTAAATATCTCGCTTATAACATATAAAATTATAATTTTAGGATCGTCCAAATTCCCTTCCTTTTCTGAACACTGAAAACCCCTTCCTTTAGTTTTCCCTCCCTCTTTTCGACCGCTCAAAATCCCTCCCTTTAGTTTTCCCTCCCTCTTTTTGACCCTGGCCGCGCATTTAGGCAATCTGATAAGCGCAGTGACGTGGCTATGGATTTAAGCGCAAATTTCGCGCTAGCTGTACCTTTACGACAGAAATTACCGGACAGGCTTGTACACTAGTACTCATACGCCGCTCTCATATTCTCTACTGAAAACGTAAGTGCATATAAGGGGAAAAACTAAGCGTCTTCCACCGTTCCCCTGTACTGCTGCCGTCACCCGCCTGCAGTATGACTTTACGGCAGTACAGTACATGCGGTTAAATCTGGCGCGGTGCGTAAGCGTCATGTTCAGCCACAACGTCCAACTCCAGTCGGGTGACGGCAGCAGTACAGGGGAACGGTGGAAGATGCTTAGTTTTTCCCCCTATAGACGAACCGGAAATCTCAGTTTATCTGGCTAGAGGCATCCTCATTATTACTCAAACTCAGACAACTTTTTCCGTTGACTGGTATAGGCACAGTGCGCAGTGCAGTGTATATGCGCAGTGTAGTATGGTGCATCTGTTATGATTATTTTGTAGACTGTAGAGTAAGCATGGGTATGTTACCAAACGGAGCTGTGCAGTGCGGTATCTTGAATACGTACCGTATGACTGTTTTGAACATTCGGAGCCAGATAAGCTCCGAGTCGTGATGACCCGTGTTAGCAGCCGTTATCTGCTACTCATTACGCCGAAAAAACTAAAGCCACTGCCATAGTTGATGTTCGCGCAAAAGACAGAACAAAAATCA